CTTTAACTACCCTGACATCAACTGGGAGACAAACTCCGCACCAAGTGGAAGATCAAACAGGTTCCTGGCAAACCTAGCAGACAACTTTGTCTCCCAAAAAGTAGAGAAGGGAACTAGGGGATTAGCCATTTTGGATCTAATTCTCACTAACAGAGATGAAATGATAGACGGTGTTGAAGCCATAGGAACCCTGGGAGGAAGTGATCATGCAATATTAGAATTCAACATTATAGAAGCACAACCAATAGAACACAGTCAAACTAGAGTCTTGGACTTCAAGAGAGCTAATTTCAATAAACTTAGAGAGGGCTTGGGAAGGATTCCATGGATGAGAATCCTCAAGGGGAAAACAACTCAAGAAGCTTGGGAAATTTTGAAAAATGAGATAATAAAAGCACAGTCTAGCACAATACCAACAAAGAGGAAAAACAACAGCTCTCAAAAGAAACCAGCATGGCTGCATAAAGAACTCTCTGACAAATTGAAAGATAAAAAGGACAAGTATAGAAAGTGGAAAGAGGGGAACATAACTAAGTCAGAATATCAGCAAATAGCCCGAGCCTGCAAAGATGAAGTGAAGAAAGCCAAGGCTCAAAATGAACTAAGGCTTGCGACCAAAGTCAAAAATAACAAAAAAAGCTTCTTTCAACATGTAAAAAACAAGAAAAAAGTGAAGGAAATGATTGGTCCATTAGTGGGTGGAAGTGGCAAGAAGGTGACAAGCAACAGGGAGAAAGCAGAACTATTTAACTCATTTTTTGCATCTGTCTTTACACAAAGGGAAAAAACAGACCAACCTATCAAAAATAGTGCCATAAAAAACAAAACAGAAACACAAGTTAAGATAGGCAAGAAAATGGTTAGGGAGCACCTGTCCAGCCTAGATGAGTTCAAATCGCCAGGACCAGATGGATTACACCCCAGAGTTCTCAAGGAACTGACAGATGTGATATCGGAGCCACTGAACTATATTTTTCAAAGATCCTGGAACACAGGGGAACTACCAGAGGACTGGAAAAGAGCCGATGTAGTTCCCATCCTCAAAAAAGGAAAAAAAATGGATCCAGGAAATTACAGACCTATCAGCCTGACCTCAATACCTGGGAAGATCCTGGAAAAGATAATCAAACAACGAATCAACGAACACCTAGAGGCAAACAAAGTCATTACTAAAAGCCAACATGGGTTTGTCAAAAATAGATCATGCCAGACAAATCTTATTGCATTCTTTGACCAAGTGACAAAATTAGTGGATCAGAGGAATGCTGTGGACATAATTTACTTGGACTTCAGTAAGGCATTTGATAAAGTAGATCACAACCTACTACTTGACAAGATAGAAAAATGTGGGGTAGACAGAACCACCACCAGATGGATCCGTAGCTGGCTGACCGGCCGTACTCAGCGAGTGGTCCTCAATGGAACTGCATCTATATGGAGGGAAGTGTGTAGTGGGGTGCCCCAGGGCTCTGTTCTGGGCCCAGTACTCTTCAACATCTTCATCAACGATTTGGATGAAGGGATAGATGGGGAACTCATCAAATTTGCAGACGACACCAAGCTGGCAGGAATAGCCAACACTCCAGAAGACAGGCTTAAGATACAGAAGGATCTGGACAGACTTGAACACTGGGCACTCACTAACAAAATGAAATTCAATAGTGAAAAAAGCAAGGTTCTACATTTAGGCAAGAAAAACCAAATGCACAAGTACAGCATAGGTGGCACCATGCTCAATAGTAGTAACTGTGAGAGGGACCTCGGAGTCCTAGTAGACAATCAGTTAAATATGAGCCAGCAGTGTGCGGCAGCTGCCAAAAAGGCCAACACAGTACTAGGCTGCATTAACAGAGGGATAGAATCAAGATCACGCGAAGTATTAATACTACTCTTCAATGCCTTGGTAAGGCCACACTTGGAATACTGCATCCAGTTTTGGTCACCACGATGTAAAAAAGATGTTGAGACTCTAGAAAAAGTACAGAGAAGAGCAACAAAGATGATTAGGGGACTGGAGGCTAAAACATATAAGGAACGGTTGATAGAATTGGGTATGTCTAGTTTAACGAAGAGAAGGACAAGGGGGGACATGATAGCAGTATTCCAATATCTCAGGGGCTGCCATAAAGAAGAGGGAATTAAGCTATTTTCCAAAGCACCGGAAGGCAGGACAAGAAGCAACGGGTGGAAACTAATCAAGGAGAGAAGCAACCTAGAACTAAGGAGAAACTTCCTGACAGTGAGAACAATTAATCAGTGGAACAGATTGCCTCCAGAAGCAGTAAATGCTCCAACACTGGAAGTTTTTAAGAAGAGACTGGACAGCCATTTGTCCGAAATGGTGTAGGGTTTCCTGCCGGAGCAGGGGGTTGGACTAGATGACCTCCAAGGTCCCTTCCAACTTTACTACTACTACTATTATTATTATTATTATTATTAAGGTAGGGGCTGCATAATTTTTATGGGAGACATTCCAGGAAAGACATGCTTCCTCAGTCCTACCAGGTATTACTGTTTAATCACCAATAAATTATGCCAACTCTATCCAATTGTATAGGATTAACAGATATCACAGATGGACTCTTAAATAACCCACAAGGAGTTTTATAGATGAGAAACAGCATTTTGAATTGCATCTGGAAACTAATGGTGCAAGTCAAAAAGCAGAGAGATGCCTGGGTATTAATATGAAATGCTCATAGCTACTTGTGTTACTGCACTCTAAACAAGTTGCAACTTCCAAGTGATCTACAAGGCCATGTAGACTGTGTTGCAATAGTCCACACAAGAGGTGACTAAAGCATGAGTGACTGTCAGCATGGCTTCCCAATCCAAGAATGGGGACAATTGGTTACAAAATGAATCTGTGCCATTCTAGCCATAGATGCCATCTGCTATTTGAGCAGGGTGGGCAGTCCACAATTCCCCAAACTTTTTTATTTGGCGCTAAAGCTGGAAAGTCCTCAGATCCAAATAATCCAAACATCCATAGGCATTTGGGCTTGCAAGGGTTGAGTTGTTCCTTCCCATTCATACTCCAACCACCTCCAGGCACTGGATTAGGACTTTGATAGATTGGGGATAGTGGTGGAAAAATTCTGAACATTGCATACAGAAGATACAAACTCCAGAATTTCTGATGTGTGGGTGGGAAGAGAGAAGTACAAATTCCTGCCAATATACTGGATTTGCAGAACTGCAACAATTCATAATAAAATTCCAATGAGTTGGGGTTTCTTGTAAATTAAAAGAGACAGAAATAGATTGACTCAGTTCCTCAAGACAATGACATCATAAGATCAGATCCAGAGCTGGTCCCAAAAAGGTATTGTATTATTGTGTGGAAATGTACACAATTATTGAGAAAGAAGAAATGGTTTCAAAGTTGAGTAAGTGACAGGAAAAATTGCTGAACTTTTGTGGAATGCATTATTCTAAGTTCATTGACAATGGAGTGGATTTTTTCTGGCATAAGTGTGTTGTTTAATTGACCTCTGGAAAAGTACTAAGAGTAATTAATACACTATAAGGCTGATCTCAGTTCAAAAACCACCAAGTAATACCAATTATATTGTGAAAAGAATGAAATACAGTACTATATTTTTCAATTTATATAGCTTCCTACTTGCCATGTGACTCTGGGCAACTAAGATAGGGTGAAAAATATCAGAAATATGACAACACTTTATAAAAACACAGGGTAGAAGCATGCCTATATGAACACCATACTAATTTGAACACTCCTAATTAATTCCAGGATATTTAAAAATGTGTCTACTGGCCAACTGGAAATGTTTAGAATACAGTTTCCATTTCAGTATTCAGAAGACTGGTAAACCTCTTTAACAAAAGATGTTATATATATTTATAAATATACAGCCATCACTGTTTAGTAATTATGCCATTTTTTCTGGATATTATAGCTCATTCATTTTTTTTAGTAAAACTGAAGTGGCTCTCAGTTTCATCTTAAACTGATGTGAGACCTTGTTCAAGACTTTTTCTTGAACAGGTTACTTCAACCTGGATTGGACCTTGTGGACTGCATTTTTATCCTGTGTTTCTCCTAAAAGCATATGATGGATTATGTGTCATCAAATCATTTTTGACTTCTAGCAACCACATAGATTTTATCCATAACAATCTGATCCTTCAAGTCTTTCATTGAGTCACCATCACCAACATAACTGAATCCATCCACCTTGCTGATTGTCCTCTTCTCTTTTCTTCCACTTTTCCCAGCATTAGAGCCTTTTCCAGAGAACTAGATCTTTGTTTGATGTGTCCAAAGCAAGATAACTTGAACCTGATCATTTGTGCCACAAGTGAGAATTCTGAATTGATTTATTTGATGATGCGTGTGTTTTCTGGCTTTCTCTGGATTTCTTAGGAGTTTTCTCCAATTCCAAAAGTGTCAATATTCTTCCAATCCTACTTCTTCAAAGACCAACTTTCACTTCTAGAATGTTAGAGGGACTACCATGGCAACTTGCACGATTCTGATCTAAATTTCACAAATCACCCAGTAAGTTTCAGGCTGAGTGGAACTTAACTCAAACGGAGAAGCTACTGTTTCAGTGTGCTTTACACTGAGGCTTTACAGCAGTTCCATAATAATGATTTGTATTGCAAATTATATCTGCATACTTTTACATCTTCCCCCACTCTTCACCACTTTGAAAGACAACCCCCCCCCCCAATAACTATAGTGAAAACCTACATAGAGAAACTCACATCCTTTTCCCGTCATACATCTTTTAGGGTGCATAAGCAGGCACGCAGCATGTAAGGTTCGGGCAGCTTCTTTAAAAGCATCAACATCTGCAGGAATTCCTGGATAGCACACCCCCTCTTTTAAATCGTACTAACGGGGGTTTCGCGGGGTCGTTCCAATGCAGCCATCCTGAGCCTACCGCGGTGCGCAACCGGCTTTCCCTGGTGCCCCGGTGCACGCTCTCGGCTTCGCCCTTGACAGCGAAGCCCAGCTGAGGACGTTGCGTGGCAGGAGGAAGTGGTATGAAACCAGGAAGTAGGATCTGCCGGAGGGTTGCCGTGCCTACGACTTTGGTTTCGATTTCTCCGATCTTCTGCTCCCAGATCTGCAGAGAAGTCTAATCGAAACGCTGGCTTAAAGGTAACGGCTGAGTTTTAGCCAGAATGACGAATGGCACGGGGGCGAGCAAGCCAGAAGGAGCATCGCAGTGTATCTTTAAAAGTCCCAAAATTTGTTGTGCATTCATGCTCCTCTTTTTCCTTCCTACTTTTTGTAATTGCAGGTGATCCCTCTGGTGCCCCGATCTCTACCTCTTGCCATGGGGCACGCTGGGGATAGATGGCAGGAGGTCTCTGGTGATTCTGAGGGTGAGTCTGTTCCCATGCCCAGCTCTCTCCTTTTCCCCAGATGTCTCAATCCTGACAGCTGTGCTTGTTTTCTCCCCACAAACAGAAGAAAATGAAGAAATGGCTCTGCCTGAGGAGTCCGAAGCCACCCTGGATGCCTGCAGCCAGCGGAGAAACAATGCAGGCTTCTGGTAAATTCCTTTATGCTTCTTCTTTGGTTCAAGGAGATGCAGGATGTTCAACATCACATCTTCAGTTGTTACTATATGTGGTTCCTCTTTCTTCTCCATTGCTGTGTGATAACTGGCTTCTTTTTTCCTGTTGTAGCACATCAGCATAGGCACTTCTGGTCTGTGGTCATGTTTATTTTCTGAATATCTTTTCTGCAAATTGAATGTTTTTATGCATCCTCTTCCAATCAGGCTGGGTCGTTCTATTTGTTTGCAGTACACTTTGTACAACTTGTTGCATGCATTATGTTGCATGCATCAGAACTTTGGGGAATTTTGAGTGTGGTGATAGAGTCTTATGACTGATGGAAAAAATTGTAGCTAAACTAATCTGGATCTACATGCATCTGAGCTTTTTTGTGAAAGAAAGAGGGGCCTGTAATTACAATGAAAAATCTATAATTACAATAAAAAAATCAACAAAATGATAACACTGATACTGTTCATACTATGATAAAGCATAGTTCATTTAGTGCTTTAAAAAGCCGCCATTGGTTGGATCTATTGCAACCAAGTTTATACAATAAACTACAATATTTAGGTTCGTATAATCCACTAAGCCAAAACTAAGTATCTGTTTTATAGCTTTAACACATTTTAGGAACTCAGATACTGACGTATGCATATGTGGTAACTTCCATGTCTCCTAAACTGCCTTCTCCTCAAACAGGCTGCTTGGCCTCTGCAACAACTTTGCTTATGTAGTGATGCTGAGTGCAGCCCATGACATTCTCAGCCATCAGAAAGTGCCAGAGCATAATGGGACAGGACCGGTGAGTGTGCAAGGAAGAAGACCCTGTGTGTATTTTTGTGTTGGTATGCAAAAGCAAAATAAAGAACAGGTCAAGAGAAAATGACAGTTACTGGAAGAAAGAGTGGGTAAGAAAATAAGAACAAGGAAAAAATGGTATGTAAGTACAAGGAAGTGCACAAATGTGAAATGCAGCAGAATTGCTTATCTTTGGAGTTTTTCTCCCATTAGTTCCAATCAGTTGAGCCAATAGCCAGAAAATGAGAAGGCTGCGGTTTATTTTATTACATTATCTACGAGGTAGAAAATACATTTTGGTTGAATTTGGCAGAAATGTCTTAGCAGAGAGCCATTCAACATTGATTGCCTGGGTAAATAAGTCCTTGATCCACAACCATTTGTTTAGTGACCATCCAAAGTTACAATGGCACTGTAAAAAGTGACAACTGGTCCTCCCTCTTCCTTCATTGTATCCCCACAGTCACATTATCAGAATTTAGGCACTTGGCAAGCAGCATATATTTATGAGGGTTGCAGCATCCCAGGGTCTTGTGATTGTCATTTCTGATGTTTCCAGGTGGCTTCCAACAAGCAAAATGGGGGAAACCTGATTTCCATAACAATTGCATGATTCACTTAACAACTGCAGTGATCCACTTAACAGTTGTGGCAAAAAGGTTGTAAGACTAGGTGGGACTCACTTAATAAGTGCCTTACTTAGCAACAGAAATTCTGGTTATGGTTGTAAGTTGAGGACTACCTTAGTAAACCCAGCAAATTCAGAATGGAGGCTCTGTATCAGGGGCGTCAAACTGCCGGATGCGTCACGCCGAAACCACACCCACCCCATTGCCAGCAATGGGGAAAAAGTCACGATATGTCACAACATGTCACATGACGGTGCGAGTTTGACACCCCTGCTCTGTATGAAAGATGGTGATGAGAGGCTGTTGGCATTTTTATCTTCTGTATCTTCTTAGAATTCATCAATGCAACATTTTCAGGAAGATCTAATTCAGAGCTTCCACTGATATTATCCATAGAATGCCCCCATCTTTTTTTTTTTTGTACTATAGTATCTAGATCAGTGGTTCTCAACCTGTGGGTCGGGACCCCATTTGGGGTCGAACGACCATTTCATGGGGGTCGCCAAACAATGCAGTCCGCCATTTTTTCCCCCTTTTCCTTAGCTGTGCTACTCCCTTTTATTCTATTGGCTTTTGAAAGCCAATAGAATAGACTCTCTTGAATAGAGTCTAATTCTATTGGCTTTCAAAAGCCAATAGGAATTGTCCAAGCTGTCTCTGCCCTGCTGAGCCCGCCAAAAGTCCCATTCTGCAAATGGTGCTGCACCAGTTGAGTAGTCCTCGACTTACGACCGGTTGAGTAGTCCTCAACTTACGACTGGTTGGGGGTCGCGGCATTAAAAAGGTTGAGAACCACTGATCTAGATACTCTTGTGTATATGTGCATGTATATATTTACATACAGATAGTCCTCGACTTGCTACCATTCATTTAGTGACTGTTTGAAGTTACAACAGTACTGAAAAAAGAGACTTACTGTATGACCGTTTTTCACACTTACAACTATTGCAGTATCCCCATGGTCATGTGATCAATATTTAGATGCTTGGCAACTGACTCATATTTATGACGGCTGAAGTGTGCCGGTGTCATGTGATTATCGTTTACGACCTTCTGACAAGCAAGTTCAATGGGGAAGCCAATTCACTTAATAACCATGCTACTAACTTAACAACTGCAGTGATTTACTTAACAACTGTGGCAAGAAAGGTTGTAATATGGGGCAAAATTCATTTAACAACTGTCTCACTTAGCAACATAAATTTTGTACTCAATTTTGGTCATAAGTCAAGGACTACCTGTCCAGATTTTAAAACATGGAGATCTTTTGAGATTGTCCGATTGAATGAGATTTCAGAGTGTTGATCAGAGATTTGCTGATTTCATGGAACTTTGTCCAATAAACATACATGCAGCAGCACCAACAGCACCTCTGCAGGTTGCTGATCCCACACCTGAGTTTTGCTTCCTGTGTTTTGCTTCCCACTCAGATTCCCCCCAGTGTTTCTCCAGGGAATACCACCATCAATACTTCTCGGTATGATTGCAACACCATTTCGACTGGGGTAAGTGTGAAGGCCAGATCAGGCAGGGGAAGGAGCGAGATATTTTGAGGTTTTGATACCAACTATTTTTTCTTTTTTGTATCCTGTATAGACGGTACTGCTGGCGGACATTTTGCCAACTCTCTTCATCAAATTCAGTGCCCCTTTTTGCATCCACTTGTTCCCATATGGGTAAGTTTACACTGGTGCAAAATAATTAACACATCATTGTAGATAAGAGAACAGAAGGTATTTTTATTTATTATTATTTCTTAGATTTTTTTAAAATCCTGCCTTATTACTTTTATAAATAACTCAAGGCAGTGAACATATATAATGCTTCTTCCTCCTTTTTTCCCCACAAGAACAACCCTCTGAGTTGGGCTAAGAAAAAATGACTGGCCCAAAGTCACCCAGCTGGTTTTCATACCTAAGGTGAGACTAGAACTCACAATCTCCTGGTTCCTAGCCAGCATTTTAACGATTACATTAAAGGTATATTATACCTGAACTTCTGATGGGAACTTTCTTTACATAAAAATATATATATATTTGATGTATGGGAAAAGCTGTCCAATGTTGCCAAGCTTTCCATTCAAAAGTATCAGTGTCTTGGGCTCTCTTTTCCTGGCCAGATCTAGTAGGAATAAAGGTATTCCAGTGCACCTGGAAGTCAAAGTCTTCAGCAGTGTTTCTCAACTTTGGCAACTTTTAGATTTAGCAATTAGCTGAGGAATTCTGGTAGCTGAAGTCCACACATCTTAAATTTGCTGAGGTTGAGAAACACTGGCCTAGACCAGGGGTGGCAAACCTATGGAATGTGTGCCATAGGTGGTACTCAGAGCCCTCTCTGTGGGCACGTGCGCCGTTGCCCCAGCAGAGTTCGCCAGAGTAGTGAGCACGTGGCGTTTGGAAGCAACGGTAGGGAGTGAGTGAGCAAGTGGCATTGGTCCCCCGGGCATGCCCCGGAGATGGCAAGCGACTGGCTCCGGCCATGCTCACCCAGTTTGCTGTGACCACTGCAGCCACACCCACCCAGTGGGCCACACACACACGCCCCCCCTGAGGGCACCACAATGCTGATGCAGCCCTGGCACTTTGCGATAAATAAGTGGGTTTCGGGTTGCAGTTTGGGCACTCAGTCTCTAAAAGGTTCGCCATCACTGTGTGATCTGCTTGTATAGGGATTACATTTGCCTTTTGAAGAACATATGCTTGTAAGTACTTTTTTTCTATTGAAGAAAGCCATATGTTCATATCCAGGTAAGAAATCAGTGGATTTAGGACATTTTAGTAAAGGAGAAAGGAAAATGTATTCACATAAGAAACTGTCTCTTTGCTTATTGCTTGGTAGTTTGTTTTGATCCTGTTTCCTTCCTTCCTTCCTTCCTTCCTTCCTTCCTTCCTTCCTTCCTTCCTTCCTTCCTTCCTTCCTTCCTTCCTCTTCCTTCTACTTCTTTCCTTCCCTCCCTCTCTCCCTTCCCTCCTTTTTTCCTTCCTTCCTCTTCCTTCCTTCCTTTCTTCCTTCCCTTCCTCTCTCCCTCCACAGCTTGCGTGTTGGCATTTGTGTTACCTCAGCTTGGGGCAGCTTTCTACTAGTGGCCTTCTCCACCACCTCAACACAAAGCCTCCTGGGTGAGTGTCATTTTTACATGTGTATAATCTTAAAATGGGTGATTATTCAGATTTTGGAGGAAAAAGTGCCTTTGCCATTCAATCCAGCCATTTTTTTTCAGCACCAAAGTCTCTTTGACTATATTTAGAATCAAATACAACTGACATAGCTTTGATCCATCCATAACCCTAATTTACCAGTCACGATATGCCAGAATTATGGTTTACCATAACTGGTTTAACAAGTTATTGTTTGCATCCAAAGTAAAAAGTACAAAAAGAGTTATTAACAGTGCTTGGAGAAATCATAAGGCTTATATAATTTTTTTAAAGGAGCCAAAATACCAAACTAGAGCATGGTCAATGGCAAAAGAATGCTGGGAATGTGAATATGGAACAGAGTGTAATTGAGAAGGGGAAACCTGGAATTCCACGTAGAAGTATTCCTTCTGGAAAGCAACAACAAATATTCAGTAAAATACATGTGTATTTTAAATACTTCTGCCAAAGTTCTGAAGCTGTAAAACTTGCACAGATATGAACATATGATATACAACTGATAGGTTTGTGACAGAAGAAGCCAGGCCCAGTTCGGATCTGCCTTCTACACAATTCAGACACTTGATAACAAGAGGACAGGTTGCTTATGTGTGATATCTCCTTTTTCCTCCTCATCGCTACAGGTGTCGTGCTTGCCAGTATATCATCTGGTCTTGGTGAAATAACATTCCTGGCACTCACATCATTTTTCAACAGGTAAAGATTGAGAAGGGCAGTTGCAGGATTTGGATGATGGATGACACCTTACAATAGGGTTAGGTGTGGCTACCTCTTGCTTAACAAATTAGGCTTTGGAGTTGAGATGTCCAGCTATGGGCCCATGGACTCAACTGGAAATCTGAGAAACTATCATGATCACTAACTCTACAAAGTGATGGTCATAGGAACCAGCCTCATTGTAAGACTAAGTAACTTTCTAAACAACTGAGTGGGAAGGCAGAAACTGAATTTGGAATCCCAAGGTCAAATCATATATTCTCTCTGACAGAACTGAAAAAGAAAAGGGTTGGTGGTCCCAGAAATGCAGCTCCCCACCCTACTGGCAAATAGACATAATTCTGTTCACACACATAAATATATAATATATCCTGTATGGTATTTTTGATTATACTGACCACCAGGAGGTTGTTGTTGTTAATTGCGAAGTCATGTCCGACCCATCGCAACCCCATGGACAATGTTCCTCCAGGTCTTCCTGTCCTCTACCATCTTCTGGAGTCCATTTAAGTTCACACCTACTGCTTCAGTGACTCCATCCAGCCATCTCATTCTCTGTCGTCCCCTTCTTCTATTGCCCTCAATCTTTCCCAGCATTAGGCCCTTCTCCAGTGATTCCTTCCTTCTCATTAGGTGGCCAAAATATTTGAGTTTCAACTTCAGGATATGGCCTTCTAAAGAGCAGTCGGGGTTGATCTCTTCTAGGACTGACCGGTTTGAACGCCTTGCAGTCCTAGGGACTCGCAGGAGTCTTCTCCAGCACCATAGTTCAAAGGCCTCAATTCTTTTGCGCTCAGCCTTTCTTATGGTCCAACTTTCACAGCCATACATTGCAACTGGAAAACCATGGCCTGGACTATACGCACTTTTGTTGGCAGGGTGATGTCTCTGCTTTTTAGTATGCTGTCTAGATTTGCCATAGCTTTCCTCCCAGGAGCAAGCGTCTTTTAATTTCTTGGCTGCAGTCCCCATCTGAGGTGATCTTTGAGCCCAGAAAAATAAAATCTGTCACTACCTCCATTTCTTCCCCATCTATTTGCCAGGAATTGAGAGGGCCGGATGCCATGATTTTAGTTTTCTTAATGTTGAGTTTCAAGCCAACTTTTGCATTTTCCTTCTTCACCCGCATCAAGAGGCTCTTTAGTTCCTCTTCACTTTCTGCCATTAGAGTGGTATCATCTGCATATCTTAGGTTGTTGATATTTCTCCCGGCAATCTTAATTCCAACTTTTTTTCATCTAGCCCTGCCTTTCTCATGATGTGCTCTGCATATAAGTTAAATAGGCAGGGCGACAGTATACAGCCTTGCCAGACTCCTTTTCCAATTTTGAACCAATCAGTGGTTCCGTGTCCAGTTCTCACTGTTGCTTCTTGACCCGCATATAGGTTTCTCAAGAGACAAATAAGATGGTCTGGTATTCCCATCTCTTTAAGAACTTGCCACAATTTGTTGTGATTCACACAATCAAAGGCTTTAGCATAGTCAATGAAGCAGAAGTAGATGTTTTTCTGGAACTCCCTAGCTTTCTCCATGATCCAGCGTATGTTGGCAATTTGATCTCTAGTTCCTCTGCCTCTTCGAAATCCTGCCTGTACTTCTGGTAGTTCTCGATCCACATACTGCTGGAGTCTAGCTTGTAGGATTTTAAGCATAACTTTACTAGCATGTGAAATGAGTGCAATGGTGCGATAGTTTGAACATTCTTTGGCATTGCCTTTCTTTGGAATTGGAATGTAAACTGACCTTTTCCAATCCTGTGGCCACTGCTGAGTTTTCCAAATTTGCTGGCAAATTGAGTGTAGCACTTTTACTGCATCGTCTTTTAAGATTTTGAATAGCTCAGCTGGAATACTGTCACCTTCACTAGCTTTGTTGTTGCTCAGATTTTCTAAGGCCCATTTCACTTCACATTCTAGGATGTCTGGTTCGAGGTCAGTGACCATCTCATTGTGGTTATCTGGGATGTTAAGCTCATTCTTGTATAGTTCTTCTGTGTAGTTTTGCCATCTCTTCTTAATCTCTTCTGCCTCTGTTAGGTCTCTGCCATTTTGGTCCTTTATCATGCCCATCTTTGCATGAAACGTTCCCTTCATATCTCCAATTTTCTTGAAGAGATCTCTGGTCCTCCCTATTCTGTTGTTTTCTTCTATTTCTTTGCACTGTTCATTTAAGAAGGCATTCTTATCTCTTCTAGCTACTCTCTGGAATTCTGCATTCAATTGGGTGTATCTTTCTCTTTCTCCTTTGCCTTTCGCTTCCCTTCTTTCCTCAGCTATTTGCAAAGCTTCCTCAGACAGCCATTTTGCTTTCTTGCATTTCTTTTTCTTTGGGATGGTTTTAGTTGCTACCTCTTGTACAATGTTGCGAACTTCCATCATAGTTCTTCAGGCACTCTGTCTATCAGATCCAGTTCCTTAAATCTATTTGTCACCTCTACTGTATATTCATCAGGAATATGATTTAGTTCATACCTGAGTGGCCTAGTGCTTTTCCCTACTTTTTTCAATTTAAGCCTAAATTTTGCAACGAGAAGCTCATGATCTGAGTCACAGTCAGCTCCTGGTCTTGTTTTTACTAACTGTATAGAGCTTCTCCATCTTTGGCTGCAAAGCACATAGTCAATCTGATTTCTATGTTGACCGTCTGGTGATGTCCATGTGTAGAGCCGTCTCTTGGGTTGTTGGAAAAGAGTGTTTGTTATGACCATCATATTCTCTTGACAAAATTCTATCAGCCTGTGCCCTGCTCCATTTTGTACTCCAAGGCCAGGAGGTACCATCTGACTAAATGCCTTTGGAGATTCTCGATCATCCAGGTCATGGTTGTCCCAAAGGTGCTTTCCCAAAAGGCAACTGAACTTTCTTGGTTTTTTTCTTTGAAAGCGTTTCATTTCTCATCCAAGAACTGAAAAAGCTTCTTGGATGAGAAGCAAAATGTGTTCAAAGAAAAGTCAAGTTGCCTTTTTGAAAAGTACCTTTGGAATTACCATATGACTAATGTTGCCCTTACTGTGTTGAGACTCCTCAGATATTAGATGTTATTCTTTGGGGTTCAAACCCTCTACTGGGATTTGATCTCATGAATCTTTGCTTATATCATTAAATATATGGTGCAATAACTTTACGAGCATCCAACTCTGGTATTCAGAAATTGCAGGAAGAGGTATCTGAGCCATCAAAATATGTGCCATTTGGCTAGCTTATAAAAACAAAAAAATAGTTTATAGTCAAAATTATTTCACCTTCCAAAAACATGATTATTCAGACAGGGTACACACAGCGAATCAAGCAAAATAATTTTTGCTAACTGGCTGGAAGCCTGGGTCTAACAGAATTCAGAGGTCAATGCCCAATCTTAATTTTTTTTTCTTTGAAGAAAGATTTATGCTTACGTGGGACCCAGAAGCATTTGATGGGAAGGAAGTGGGAGAAACAGCTATAAATAACTTTGCAACCATCAGAACTCAGTAGTTACTTATTAATAAATACTGGATCCACATGTTTTTTATGTTGATCTGAGCTGCAGAGACCATTAAATATATTTCTGCATGTTAATAGGTGACATTTTCTTTTCCTTAAAGCTAGTTCTGTTAATATTTAAAGAAGACAGACATACTATATTAAACAGTATATCTGATTTAGAAAGCAGTCTTAAGATGTGTATTTTGTTCTGGACAAAATAAACTGTATGTACCCAACCTAGCTAGACAGCTTAGAAATGTGAATTGGACAAAGTTCTTATTGACTAGTATCTACTGCCAGTACTAATACCAATATGTGCTCATGAGAAATGTTCAGCAGCTTTTGATTTAAAAACTCTTTCATTGAAGGATAAACATCTTTAAAGTAGATATGTGCATCATTTTAAATTGATGTGTACTTTTGTACATATATACATACACAAAATACATATGTGCATGCTTTGCAGGTACACTGAGAGCTTCTGCACCAGAAACAAATTTCTTGTGTGTCTAATCACATTTGGCCAAATAAAGTATTCAGTTCAAAAGTACATATATGCAACATTTTAACATTATGTCTAACGCCAAACAATTCCATATTTGATTTGCTTGCAAGAACAGTAGTTAGACTGGAATTGATTATGTGGAAGTTGAATACCCAAAGCTCTCTGACTCATGTTGTTTCTTTTGCTTTTCTTCCCACAAGTGCTGTGGTGTCTGCCTGGTCATCTGGAACAGGTGGGGCTGGCTTGATCGGGGCCCTTTCCTACCTCGGGCTGACACAGACAGGCCTGACTCCGCAGGATACGCTCCTCTTTATGACCATTGTTCCTGTTATCATGCTGGGCAGGTGAGGTCTAAAAATGGGACCTGCAAAGAGAGTCTCATGCAGATGAAAAAAAAAAAAGAGAGAGAGGCGATAGATGTCAAGAAGACAAAATGAGAGCCAGTTTGGTCTAATGGTGAAGGCACCAGACTAGATGTCAGGAGACTGTGAGTTCTAGTCCTTTTTTAAGCGTGAAAGCCAGCTGGGTGACTTTGGACCAGTCTCTCTCTCTCTGAGCCTAACTCACCTCACATGGTTGCTATTGTGGGGAAAATAGGAGGAGGAAAGAGTATTTATGAAAATAGTAAAGGTGGGCAATGAATGAACGAATGAACGAATGATGGTGGCTAGGAGAGCATAAAATGAAGCAGGAAGCAGGATATTGATTGTATATGAAATATATAGATGTGTTATACTTTGGACTCAGAGCCAAAAAAGTGCTCACATCACAGCTGCCAGCAGCTGTAAGGGGCTGAGAGAATAACCTTGAGAGACAGAAGGAAGAGCAACTATCTAGACAACATCTGATAAATGAAATCTAAATCCAAAGCAGAAATGTATTGGAAAAAGAATCTCAGAATTAACCTTCCCTAGTTCTCTAGAACATAAAGGCAGGAGCAGAAGAGGCACATCCAGATTTGCAAGATTCTGTTAGTATAATCTTATAATAAAAATAGTTTTAGTGTTCACTGTTTAGATTTCTTGGTCTGGACTGCCTTGAAACGCTGACAACCATCTTGCAAGTCTCCGTGTCCTTGTGGGGAGAGTGTGATAAAAATACTGACTCATCTTGCTTCTTTTTGTAGCAATTTGTAATATTCTATAGCTTACAAAATCCCTAGTCACTGAAATTATTTTTATGCTAGCTATTATTTGCCTACTAAGTTTCTAGAATCTCACAGCAAGTTCGAAAGTGTTATTTGGATGCTCATTAGTTCCAATGCTTCAATTTAGGGAAGAGGGAGATGTAATTAAATAGAAACAAAAATGGCTGTGTTATTCTGGATTGTGTGACCTAGATCAATTTGAATTTTAAATTGTTGAGTGTATTGGTTGGAGTCTGTCATAAAATTGAATTATTATAAAGAAAACTTGTTTTAAGAATAGAAAAGCATGTGGCTTTGTTGTAGTGATCATCTTTGTTTGTGAAGATGCTATTTTATTTTATTTTTTTGCATTTGAATATTTTTCAGTCCTTCTCCATCCCCTCAATTACGTGTGTTTTAACTATTCCTAAGATTGTAGAACTTTAGGTAGTCTGTCTAATTTATACTTCACACCATAGTTGAAGATTGGACATCTTGCAAGGCTTGCAGTTCTTAGATCAGTGTTTCTCAATCTTGGCCACTTAAAGATGTGTGGACTTCAACTCCCAGAATTCCCCAGCCAGCCCTCTCAAGACTGTGGCATCCATTTTCAAGGAAGAATAAGGGGAGAGGGGCTTAATAACTGCATTAATGATTCTAACCCAGGGGTGTCAAACTGCTGGCCCGTGGGCTGGATGCATCATAGCAAAACCGCACCCACCCCATTGCCGGCAATGGCAAACAAATCATGATAAGTCGCGACATGTCACGTGACATTGCTAGTTGGACACCCTTGTTCTAACCCATGCCTATCCCAGAAAATGGGGAACAGAGAAAGAATGAACCAGAAATCCTTCCCATAATTTCACTATTGTTGCCTTTAAAAATAAATAAATTATCTATCTATCTATCTATCTATCTATCTATCTATCTATCTATCTATCTATCTATCTATCTATCTATCTATCTATCATGTTCCTCGCTCTTGAGGAGGGGCTGTGGGCAGTGTTTGGTTTTTAAACATTTGTTTTTTAAATGTGACATCAGTCACAAAAAGGATCCTTCTCATTGCTTTAGCTGACGAGGATCATAATGAGAAGGGAATAATCGGATGAAATCCTAAATAACATTCCTCGCTAGCCAGAAGCAAGCTATGGCTTATTTTGGGGATAATAACTGTAACATCAAGGTGGGCAGGAACTTTGCTATGGCTCTTGACTGTCTCCCTGTTTCTTCACTTTCATAGCTATTGCTTCCTGCTGGCTCCCCCTCCTGAAGCCCCTCGCTGTGGCTGGGGGGTCTGCAAGCCAAAATCGTCATGTGCCTCTTCTGGGATTCAACAGCCTCTTCTTGGGGACAAATTGACACTCCCTCAAAGTAAGTGACTTTTGTGTGAATGCCTCCCATGACCTCAAAAGAGGAAAGTGTGATCCATAATGCATGTTCTTCTGAAATCTTTCCTCTCTGAAAAATGCTCCTGCTACATCCTTTACTGTGACGCCCTCTGCTCAGGCCAAAGGCAAGGAACAATTTTATCATAAATCTTGTCATCTTTTCCATTAAGTACAGGCAGACTGCATGCATCCACACTGTGAAGCTTCTTTTGAAACTCCTGCCCGATGCCCCAAATATTTGGAGAGGGATAGTAGGTTTTAAGGCACAACATTGGGGGTGGGGTGGGGGGGTACTAAACCTTCGTTGCTTAGGGCAACTATTTTTTTCCTTAAAGCTCCCATGTTCCAAATCAAACCAAACACAGTTAGTCTTCAAATTGCAACCCTAATGGAGGCTGCCCATCACAGTTATAACTTGTGATGGTTGTAAAATGTGACCGACCCAATTTTCTGGGGGGGGGGGTTGCAGCAGTTGTTAAGTGAATCAGTTTGGTTGTTAAGTAAACATAGTCGTTAAGCAAATCAGTGGTATGAGATGGATGCAGTTTTGCTGAAATCTGGAAGAAAATGATGGGTTTTGACAAAACCATCGTAAAATGCAGTCACATGACTGTGGGATGCTGCAACCTGGTTGCCAAGCACCCAAAATGCGGTCACATCACTGAGGAGCCTTGAACATCAGAACTTCAAATTCAGATCATCAGTTTCTCCCAAGCAGGTCTGTCAGAATTTCAGTTGCTAAGCAATTAGTCGTAGCTCGAGGACTATCTCCATTTTCCACAACCACTCAGTTAACATCAGGTCACTCTTTGATTGTGTGCTTCCCCCCCCCCAGTTTTGAGTGTTTCTGCAACACTTCTCAGAGGAAAATACAATGCCATAATTTCAATTGTTGTCTCCCTCCTCCAGAGACACAAAAACTTCAGCTCACCTTGCAGGAAAAAGAACAGGTGGTCAAGGTAAGAAGCCTGCTCAGAGAAGGTGGGAAGAACTTTCTGAGCTGTGCAAGTGTAAAAGTGCTCTTTTTGGTGGTTCAGTGGGAATCAATGTTGAATGTGCCTATGGCGAATTTAGAAGGTTTTCTCGTAAGAATATTGTGTAGCTATTTAACCTTTTCTTAATAGATTCTCTCTGGGAAGGGGTGGATTAAAAACATGGCAGAAAAAGACAAGAAGAAAGAATATTACCTAGATCCATTTTGTAAATATTAGTGAATAAGGTAGGATAATAAAAACCTAGAAGTATCTTAATTTTGAAAAAGGGGATTAAAAAAAGAGGGAGGCCTGTGAACCTAAAAGTGAAATGTTTCCCAGATATTCTACTTCCTGCTGGACTAAGAGAAGAGAGACTCAAGTTTTACTTCCTTTTTTGTCATGGAAACTCCTTGAGTGAATTTGGATCACTTGTTTTCTCCCAGATCAACTTACTCATTGGCATGTTATTGTGAGGAAAAATAGGAGGAGCACCATGTATCCCCCCTTTAATCCTGAACAAAAAAACCAATATAAATTTAATAATAAATAGAGACTGGATCAAAACACATTTTGGGGACAGTAGGTGGACAATACACAAATAATTAACTTCTACTGGAAATCAACTATAAATACAACTCTTGCCTTTTAAACTCGTGTTTTGTCAATGGTACCTTTTATTTAAACATTTTCCCATATTTCTGTCATCAGAAATACTTAAGCTGTGATGCTTTATTATCGTTTATAGTTGCAACCTTCTGTGATAACATAGGCTGCAACATTCTGTGCATGTGTAACATGCATATTGTAACCTTTGTTACATGCGAGGCCTAGTTCACAACAAAAATGAATGATGTACTTTACTAAGATGATGACTCTGAACTACATCTGCTTCTATTAGCCCAGAGTTGGGTGCTATACAAATTTAATACATCATGATCTCAACCTTCTCCAGGGACTGTATCACATGAATATATACTCCCTGGAACTTCAAATAATCCATGTAATTAGGTACTTTAAGATAGAGGAAATCCTCAACTTACAACCATTCATTTAGTGACCATTCAAAGTTACAACGGCACTGAAAAAGTGACTTATGCCCAATTTTCTCACTTATGACCATTGCAACATCCCAGTGGTCAGATGATCAGAATTCAAACATCTGCAAGTAACATGTATTTATGATGTTGCAGTGTCCTGGGGTCATGTGATCATCTTTTGTGACTTTCTGACAAGAAACACCAATGGCGAAACCAGATTCCCTTAACAACCATGTTACTAGCTTAACAACTGCAGTGATTCACTTAACAACTGTGGCAAGAAAGGTCATAAAAGGTGGCAAAACGTACTTGATAATTGTCTTGCTTAACAATGGAAATTTGGGGCTCAGTTGTGGTGGTAAGTTGAGGACTTCCTGTACTTTTTGGCTTTAATTTTGTAATGCTTTAATTTATAAGAATTTTCAGAAGCCGTTCTTATGTTATCTGCATGTTATTTATATATAAACATTCGCAGATAATATGATGTTTTCAACTTATTAGGTAGATGATGGTGTTACTTGTACGAAGAAGGGCTTGATGGTTTCTTAAAACAATTTGGCTGTTCTCGCAATGAACTCATTCGCTTTGTCTCTTTCAGGGTCTTTTGAAATACCTCATCCCCTTGTCTGTGGTGTATTTTGCTGAATACTTCATCAATCAGGGGCTGGTAAGCATAATGGGTAGTTATTCCTTTATCGGAGGTGATGCTGATTCATTTTTTGGCTCTTCCTTTTTTAACATTTACTCTCTGTGTTGTTCTTTCCCAGTTTGAATTGTTATACTTTCGAAATACAACTTTAAATCACCCCCAACAATATCGCTGGTAAGTGGGAAGGTGCTTGGCGCTTTCCAGATGTTAAGACTCTAAATCCCATTAGCCTCATCCAACATTGATTAACGTGTCTGGATGTTACTTAATGGGGGGAAAATGAATTGTTAGTTGAGTGAGAAAAGTTGATAGGCTAGAAAAAAGATACAGGTAGTCCTCGGCTTACAAACATTAGTTGAGCAACTGTTTGAAGTGACAACAGCATTGAGAAAAGTCAGTCCTTGCACTTCACAACTGTTGCAGCATCTCCGTGGTCACCGGATCAAAATTTGATCACTTGGCAACCAGCATATATTTGTGATTGTTGCAGCATCTCAGGGTTATGTGATCGCCCTTGGCAACATTTCCAGCCAGCTTCTGACAAGCAAAGTAAATGGGGAAAGCTGGATTTGCTTAACAACTGCATGCTTCACTTAACAACTGCAGTTATTTGTTTAACAACTGTGGCAAAAATCATTTGTAAACTCTGGTGTAACTCATTTAACAGTCGCTTTGCCAAGCATCAGAAATTCTGCTCCCAATTGTGGTCCTAAGTCTAGAGAATATTTTTTTATATTTACAGTTAGTATATTCATATATAGCAGTAACAATTTAACCATCCATACTGTGGCTTGAGCCAAATTCCTACTGTCTTTTTGCAGGTATCAGATGCTGTATCAATTAGGGGTTTTTATTTCCCGTTCCTCTGCCAGCTGTATACGAATCCGAAAGATATGGCTTCTGGCTATATTGCAGGTAAAAAATTTCCTTCACTAACATTTCCCCTCCTTCTCCACTGAATGATTCCTTCTCATCCACTTGAAACAGATCCTCTCCTGACAGTTACATTTATTCCGCTCCTCCCACTTGCTTTGTATTTATGTATCAGAATTATTTATATTTTGCCTACTTTCATAGGCTGAAGGAGGTTTGCATCAGGCAAACAAAAAAATAACAAAATCTGACTACCGTAACAATTTGACATTCTGTTAACATCATAAAATAGTTTTAAAATTCAACCGAGAGGGTTTTATCAGGGGCCTAAGCTGCTACTATCTGCGAAAGATGCTTGATTTTAAAAACCTGAGAACAAAAACTGATTAAGAACAGAAAAGAAGCCAGTGAGCCTCTAATTTGAATAATCTGTGGCCTGCCACCTTTTAAACTATTTCTTGTCTATGATTTGGCTTCCAGACAATTGCTACTGTTTTACCAGGCTAATTTTCTTCTATTCTCCCTCAAGTGCCTGAATATGCTGTTTCTCCTGTTTGCCGTGCGCTACATGTTTCTACCCAGCATCTATATGGTTTTCGTGCTGATATTGTATGAGGGATTGCTGGGAGGAGCTGGCTATGTGAACACTTTCCATTGTGTCAGTGAAGAGGTGAGTTTGAGGGAAGAAGCAAGAGGAAGAGGTGGGATTGGAAAGATGGAAGAACAGTCATATGTTGGGTGGATAGAGGAGAGCATTGTCTCACGCTTCAATGTGTAGAACTAATGTAAACATTCTATGACACTGCATTGCCCTTTTTTTTTTCATAATCCTTGGCATCCTGCTGGCCATAATACCTTAAAATGGCCAGAGAGCTTCCACATCATCCCACCCCATTTTAAGTAGGAAACACATCAAAATTGTAGCATAGGCTCTAAATATAGCCTTTTAAAAGCTTTCAAAGCAACTTCCCAGATCTAGTCTGTTTTGTAGGGGCCTTTTCACCAGCTGCTCAAAAAACCATAAGTTGTGGGCCTTTACCAAAAGGTTACCCACACCTGGAATGAAAGATGGGATCATTACAAGAATTTGCAGGGTTCCTCTGCAAACAACTCACTGGTCCTCTTTAACCAGGATAGGATAAAACAAGCATTTTCATCACTTGTTTTGCAAATGGGAAGAACTGGGCATTTCAGCCAGGGGACAATCTTCAAGTTGGAAGGAACAGTTAATTTCTTTGGAGACTTGAATATTTGGATACCCAACTTCTGCTTCAATACTTTCAATGAACTTAATTCGTCCAGCAATCACTTGTGCAAAATACTAGCATCTGTGGTTGGCTTCATATAGACTAAGCCATGGCTGGTTAAAAGTAGAGTTCATAAGCTGCAGTAGCCTGGTTCACATCTTATACTAAACCCTAGTCAAATGCACCATATAAGAACAGTAATCTGCCACATGCAAAACAGCCAGAAGTAAACTGTGTACAGTATTGCACTCTGGAGGGAGAACAGAAACCCACATCCAATGTCACGGCAGAGAAATAAGATTTTTTTTCCTCTCTTTTCCTCCATGCAGAGCAAGCCGGAACATCGAGAATTTGCCATGGGAGTAGCTTGCATCGCCGACACTTTGGGCATCTCACTTTCAGGGGTCGTTGCTATCCCTGTCCACAACTATTTCTGTCACCTTCCTTGAAGTCTGTTTTCCAGGAGGATCAACAGATGTCTTGGCACACTATATCAGGGGTAGTCAACCTTGGCTCTTTTATGACTCATGGACTTCAATTCCCAGAATTCCTGAGCCAGCTTAGCTGGCTCAGGAATTCTGGGAGTTGAAGTCCACGAGTCATAAAAGAGCCAAGGTTGATTAACCTTGCACTGTAACTTTGTTCTCGAGTGGGCTGATACCCATTCGTAAGGAGGGGAAACTCCTGGGTGTATTACTAGTATTGGCTGACCTCCAAGCGCAAGAGGAAAGGCGCATCAGAAGCTGCTAGGGATTTATCCTCTTGGCTTAATTTCCTGAACAGTTTGATTTAGGAAATTAGATAGTTTTAACGGAGTGCAGCTGAGGTTGTTCTTTTTTTCCCCCTCCTTCACATTATATAGAATTTGGCAGGGTTAAAGGAAGAAAAGACACATTGTTGGATGGGATCATCCAACTTATAAAGTTCTCAAAGGTGTAATACTTTTAAAGGCGCACAAAGTGAGATGGAAACAGTTCAGAAGATGCTTCTCTACATAACTGGATTCAAGAGAAGGGAGTGGAAAGAGATGCTATGTTTTATTCATAAGTGAATATGTTAGCAGTTAGATGCTCATGGAACCCCAGTGGGTGGAAAAGATAATATGGTATTTGATCTACTTTTTTCTGAAGTTAATTAGTAAACCAGGCCTTGGAAAACTGTTAGTGTTGCTGAATGATTATCCTATGTCAGAGTATGATAAAAGTTGGTAAGTTTATATTTGTGTGATTATTTGAAATGACCAAGAAAAAAATTAAAAATAGAAATTGGAGTTACGGGCAGAAATTCCAAGGGAGAAAATGTCAGCTAAATATTAAAGGTAAACTGTTCTGCTAATAAGACATTAGAAGTTGTTTGCTGGATTCTTGTAATTAATAATGGTGGTGTTGAGCTAACTCAGAGGTAAGCAACCTTGGCTCTTTTATGACTCGTGGACTTCAACTCCCAGAATTCCTGAGCCAGGAATTCTGGGAGTTGAAGTCCATGAGTCATAAAAGAGCCAAGGTTGCCTATCCCTGGGCTAACTTTCTAAAGTGAATGACTGAATTCTGAGATATACTGTCCAGCCTTTCTGCAAGACACCCTGTTAGAACTGACATTGAAGTTTCTCTCTAAAACTTTGTTGTTAACTGCAAAGTCGTGTCCGACCCATCGCGACCCCATGGACAACATTCCTCCAGGTCTTCCTGTCCTCTACCATCTTCTGGAGTCCATTTAAATTCACACCTACTCTCTAAAATTAACCACTCTTTATTTGCTCTCCAAAATGAACATTTAGCTTCCAGATAATGCACTTCCTTTGGTAGTAGCATCCCCTATACTTTTGCCACTCTCAAAACTAGCTATGATTTGTAGTTGCCACTTTACAGTATAGCAGTGGCCCCCAACCTTTTTGGTGCCAGGGATTGGTTTCGTGGAGGTGTGATTTTGTGTGCTACCTGGATCCCACTTGCTTGAGTGGCCCGGTTCCTGGCGGGCTGCAGTAATGGTCTGCAGCCCCACAGTTGGGGACCCTGCTGTATTGGAAACATAGGCCAAATATCCAGCGTCCAAAAACAACAGCAAAAAAGACTTCTGCCAATGGAGATTGATTAAATTTCCCCAGGGCTGAAGAAGATTTTAAAACAATATTGCAGTGATTGATGTAATTATAGGTAGTCCTGGAATTACAACAATTTGTTTAGAGACCGTTTGAAGTTACAAAAACATTGAACAAAGTGATTTCTGACCAATTTTCATACTTATAACCGTTGCAGCAGCCTCATGGTCAGATGATCAAAATTTGGATGCTTAGTTATTGACTCATGATGGTTAGTGTGTCCCAGATAGGATTGCCATTTGTGGCCTTCTGACAATCAAAGTTAATAGGGAAGCCAGATTAATTTAACAACCGTGTTACTAATTTAACTGCAGTGATTCACTTAACTATGGCAAGGAAGGTTGTAAAATAGGGCAGAACTCATTTAACAACTGTCTTGCTTAGCAACAGAAATTTTAGGCTTAATTATAGTCATAATTGAGGGCTACTTCTAATGAGCAGAAGTTACCTGGCATTCAGAACCATTTATTAACTGATACTATAGTTCACTAAGTGTGGAATTCTTGCCTCCCCCATTTTGCTATTGATTAGGCCTATATAATTATATTGTTATGTTTAATGGTGTCTTTAATTTGAGAGCATGAAGATGGAAAGTAAACATTGCATAGAGTCAGCTTCCGCCGTAACCATTTATAATGCTTGTAAATAAATGAGTAAAATAATAGAATTCCAGAACCAAAGTCATGTGTACAGTAATGAGTTTATACAGACTTTGTCAGCTGCAATATAATGGTACAATGACATTCTAGAGAACCGTGTGAATTAGAAATGAAATTATAAATTGATTATTAAATTGCAATATTCACTAACTCCAATAAAGCAGGCTTTAAATGTAATCCAACTGCAACACAAGATTCCTATATATGTTTGCAAACAATGTGTTTAATAGGCTTAATTTGCTCAAACATAGAAGGGTGTATTGTTTCTATGAAATGTATAATGTACAGATGAGTATTAATCATTTGTTGGGTTCAAAATCTACCCCCTCATAGCTATGCTGATTTTGTTGTGTGCAGTATAGATTGTTTAAATGCCACTGAAGATGAGTCTTTTGTTTTAGCTTAATAATTGTGATTGGTTCATATTTCAGGGGCATGGGCACGTTGTACATATTTTTAATGTAATGGAAGGGAAAGTTAAATACAGTGGAATAAATTGTACTAATCATAATTATTTTAATTTAAATGTATGTAATTATTTGCTCCTACCCTGCCCCCCCCTTCTCATGTAGCAAAGCAAGTTCACTGGATTGGTGGGATGTACAACAGTTTACTGAATTTTTGCTGTTTCCAATGGAAGGCAGTTATATACATATGGGACTTGCAAAATATGCCCCCAAAGTATAGTTTTCTGTAGCTTAAATGAACATTAAGAAATGTTCAGTTTGTTTACTTTTTTGTCGAGTAAATTGAATAAACTGATAAAATATCATTTTTGTCATAAATTACTGACTAGTGTGCGCGGATATCAGTGAGCATACGGTACCCATTTTTGGGGGGGAGAATGTAATTAAAAACTGACGCAATATGGATGAAAGACAGTGGAAAGAGGGATTCCGATTCAATCAGAAAATCCATGTGAAAAAAAAAAGTCGTAATTATTAACCCCCACCCCCAAAATGCGGCAAGGCGTGGACAGCAAAAAGATACAATAGATTCAGACGCTTTACTTCCGGCAAACTTTGAAAGCGGCCGCTTCCAAACATCTTCCAAGGGGGCGCTAGACTGATACAGCTGTACTTGAGGTTGCAACTCTATGGTTGAAAACTCTGTGGTTCTTCAGTAGCCGAAGGCGCCAGAAATGGGGGAGGGTCTTTGATGAGCGGAATGAGTCATCAATTCTGCGACAGAGAATTTCTTCATCCTTTACGGCTCAGGACGCGACGATTTGAAAGTCCTGCGCTTGCCCAGTGGCTGCGTGGAGCCTAGGCTTCTTGGTCGGCGCAGGCCGAGGTGAGCGCGTGTTGATACCGATTGCTGGGGCGGTGGAGGCGAAGGGGGGATGGAAGAGCTAGAGGGCGGGAGGGGGAAGCGACAGTAGAGTATTTGAGCTAACTGTAAAGGGTAATAGGCACAGTACATTCTTTTCCAGAATGTCTGCCTGTCTTTGATCGGTTAATTTTAAATATTATTTAGCTGAGTTTTGGACAAAGCTTGGTAAAGTTTATGTATAGTAAATAGGCAGTGTTGTTATTAATTATTACGTATCAGGTTTTCCCAACCAGATGTTCTCCAGATGTGTTGGTCTTCAACTACGACAATTCCCATGGGGGCTAAGGTTTGTGGGAGGAAGCCCAATACAGTCGGAGGGCATCAGACTGGACAGAAAAAGTCACGTATATATAAAAGTCATTGACTTCCAGCGCCTTCCAGCAACAACTGGCACAAGGGTGGAAGAGCCTGTGTTGTTGGGGGAGGGCATTGCTCAACATTTTATGAAGGAGATTCCTTAGGAATGGCGATGCCAGATGTGCAATACAAGCTTTTCTGCTTGTTTTTTGTTTTGCTTTGTGAGGAAAGATACAATAAATCTGTATTAGCTTCCTATTATAATTGTGGAGTTATTTTTATTAATTGTATCAGTGGACTGGCTGGACAGGCTACATACGTAATCCCAAGGATGAGAAATCTCATCCATATAATGGTTTCAGTTACATCTAACATTTCCTTTCTGCTCGGGAGGCAAAGTTTCTCTTGATCAAAGAGTACAAACATTGATATTCCATTTTTCAAATCAATAAAAATAAATGCATATATATGAAAGTATTATATTCACTGGACTTTTCAATCTTTATATTTATCCTCCAGGATCAGAAATTGTATGTGAGTGACAATCCAAAGTTGTCACCATGTCACGTTTCTTTACCACTGGCTCAGACAGTGAGTCAGAATCATCGCTCTCTGGAGATGAATTAGTAGCCAAACCTGTTGGAGGCAATTTTGGAAAACAGTAAGTATGACAGGAATGGTAAGGATGGGAGAGATGGGTTCAAAGCTTCCTAGAAAATAATTAGATTGGGTAAAATGGAGTGAGATTTTTGTAACAGGTTTTTGCATATTGGTTCAGATTGCTGAGTGAAAATATATGATATTGCAATTTGCATTTCTAGTCTAGTCCCGGAATAGCATTAGGTTCAGAACTGTAGAAGCTAATCTCAAGTCCATAATTAATAATAGTTTAGGGGGAAAAAAACATTCAGGTGTTAATATTTGTTGAAGGATCCCTGTACAGATGCATTCAAACATGTTAGAAAACAATCTTGGTGGTTTTTTTCTAATAATTTGTCATGAGGTCTCTGTCTTACAGTTATTCCCCTCTGACTTCCAGTTTCCTCTTACCAGTTATTCACAGATATCCATCAACTGTTTCTCTTTTCTTATAGGCCTCTGCTGCTGAGTGAGGATGAAGAAGATACAAAGAGAGTTGTGCGCAGTGCTAAAGACAAAAGGTATGTATAGAGTGTTACTGGAAGAAGGGCACCTAAAGTTTGGAGGATTGAACCAAAATTATATTTTTCAATATCTGCAAAGCCCCTTATCCTGTTGGTAACTGGTTTCCATTGGGCTTAGTGGTATTGTTTTCTCTGAGCCCATAGCCTTTATTCATTGCTTAGATATATCTCCATATTTTGTCTTTTTCATCGCCCCTTGGTTTAATTGTTCTTTGTCCACTTTTCCTGCATGCCAGATTTGAGGAACTAACCAATTTGATCAAAACAATACGGAATGCTATGAAGATCCGAGATGTCACCAAATGTTTGGAGGAATTTGAGTTGCTGGGCAAGGCTTATGGGAAGGCCAAGAGTATTGTCGACAAGGAAGGGGTGCCCCATTTCTATATCCGCATCTTGGCAGATCTTGAGGACTATCTCAACGAGGTATTAGCTGGGGATCATGATAGACAAGAAAATTGATGATGATGATGATTTGTCTGATGAAATGTTACATATCCATTCAGGAAAGCACTTCTTTAGTGTGTTGAAACACGCTTCCCCCTGTGATACAAAAGAAATGGATCACATCTAGCAGGTCTAAATATGGGTCTTTTATCAGAAAAGTCTTTGATGGAGGTCACGTAACAGTGGACTTCAAAACTGAGGCAAAGGTGTGAGGATAATCTTTCCTGACTCTATCCCTGTCTCTTTATTTCTAGCTAGTTGCCGGTTTCTAATGAATTAATTACAATATAGCTTTGCGCAATGGATAAGCTCCCATTACTCATCCCAGCTCCTGCCCATCAAGCACTTCGAAAGCATGCAAGTGGAAATAGATTAATAGATACCATTTTGGTGGGAAGATAGTAGCGTTCTATGCACCTTTGGCCTATAGTCATGCTGGCCACATGACCACAGAAATTATCTGGGTCCCTTGGCCAAGAAAAGGAGATGGGCACACCATGCCCTAGAGTCGTACACAACTGACAGTGAAACCTTTGCCTTGTAAAGTAGATAGTGCAGGCTCATATCATTTCCAGAAATTTAGAAATCATGATCTAGTTTCCTTTGTTGGGGAGTGGTTAACCAATACATCTGAAAGTAACTTTGGTTGATGTAAAAAAAAAATTGGCATTATGCTACACGTTATGAAAGCTAAATCTAAAAGCTTCCAAAAAACATTTTGTTCCTTCAAGAAAGTAACCTTGGTAAATGATTCCAGTTTTTCTGCACAAACATTTGGCAAGAAAAATATGTTTTCTTCAAAAAAGAATACTGGTATTCAAACTTTAGGTCCTTTGCTGGTTTCTCCCAGCTCTTTAGAACTCTTGTACAATGGGCTCATAATCAGTGCTGCCAACTCATATATGAGCCTTCCTATTTGTTAAGATCAAATTATTTTAATCAGCCCCTCCAGTCATTATTTACAAAGCGTTCATCTAGTGCCTGTATGATGCTCAACCACTATGATCCTCAGTGTTGCTGGAAGTCATGGAAGTTGGAGACCAGCATCTGGTTGGCATCAGGCTAAAATAAAGTCAGCATCTGAGATCTATTTTCAGAGATTATATAGCTACAGCAAAAGTTGTAACCTTTTATATAACCTTTCATTTATATCCCTCCACACCTTTCTCTATATTCATTTAATATTAATCCATTAATAATAGTTTCAGTAGCTATCTGGATTTTGGATAATTTGTTTGTTTTCCCAAATTTTCTTTCATAGTTTAAGTCTTTTTTTTTTATTGAAAATTTTTTATAAACTTTTACAAAGACAAAAAAGAAACAGTAACAACAACAACAACACAAAAAAAAAACAAAAAAAAACAACCCTCCCCCAACCCCTCCCAAATCACCCCCTCCCTCCCCCCCGAGCTTCCCAGAGCAGAATATAGGCTTAATTAAAAGAAATTAACAAGATTATAAGATAATTAAGATAATTAAAAACAAAATATATATAAATAAAGAATTACAAACCTTAAAAAGAAAAAATATTTAAAGAAAAAAGAAGGAAAAGAAAAGGAAAAAGTAAAGTTTTTAAACAAATTATAAATAGGCTAAATGGTATTTTTTCATATCCAATTTAAATTGTATAAAATTTATCCATTTTTCCCATACAGAAAAAAAATTCTCTTGTGTTTGCTCTTTTAAGAAAGCCGAAATCTTTGCCATTTCCGCCAAATAAGATACTTTAAAAAACCACTCTTGCAAAGTAGGCAAAGATTCCTTCTTCCAATATTGACCTACTAACAGCCTTGCGGCTGTAATCAAATTCAACATCAATATAACCTCCTTAGCATCACAATCAATAACAATACCAAGCAAAAACAATTGTGGAGTAAATTTTACCCTCTTTCTGAAAATTCTCTGAATATTCCACCATATTTTAATCCAAAAAGCTTTTATATTTTTGCACGACCACCAAATATGATAATAAGTGGCAAAACCAGTCAACTCAGCCAAAGTCTGTTTGTCCTGAGTAGTCATATTTTTAGCTAATATTTTAGTCTTATTATTATTAATTTTAAAGTCCGAAACAAGTCCATATTGATGAATCAGCTGTAATAAATTTACTACAGAATAGGTAGGTTGAGATAAAGTAACCACCAAGTCATCTGCAAAAGCTCTTAACTTGTACTCTTTTTTATTAACTTCTATTCCTCTTATTTCCTGCGATTCTCGGATTTTAATCAACAAAATTTCAAATGTTAAAACAAACAGCAAAGGTGACAGAGGACATCCCTGTCTAGTACCTTTTTCTATTGTAAAAACCTCTGACAAACCCCCATTAACAATAAGTTGTGCCGTTTGTTTTTGATATATAGCAGTAAAAGCTTGTAATATTTTCCCTCCAAAATTCATCTCCTCGATTGCTCTTAACATAAAATGCGAATTCAATTGATCAAAAGCTTTTTCAGCATCTAAAAATATCAGCCCTGCAGGGACTTGGTTGTTCTTATCTAAATATTCTAATATGTTAATAATTTGTCTAGCATTA